ACTGCCTCTGCCCCCCCTGGGCTCCCTCCAGGTGTCCCTGGGGCTGCAGGGGAACCTGCTGTGACACAGGCTGAAGTCATCCCTCATGTTCCCTCCCTCAGCTGGGGAGACACATTGATTCCCAGCACTGTAATTTCTCCTATGAAGAAGAGATTTGGGCATGAGAATCACTTGTCCTTTTCCCATCACTAGAAAGGGCAGCCAGACAGTGACAGTGACCAATCTCCTTTACCCCTGCTGAGGGAAGGGAGCACATGAGTCAATCAAGGCATGTCATATGTGGGTCTGTAGTCCTAGGGCTAGAAGAGGACTCAGCTCCCTCTCGTGCAGGCCACAAACCCATGGGAGGTGGGATTCCTCTTGCCTCAGTTCAGGTGTGCACAAAATAGGCACCTGCATGGGAGATGTTCCTCTCAGCTCCCATGCTAATTCATGGAGACTGGGGAACACCTGGAGACATTCAAGGTTACACCAGAGTTTGTCCACAATTCGTGTAGGTGACTGCAAGCTCTAATGGAGCACTGCTGAGAGACTGGGCAGCATCGGGGGGGCAGCACCTTGGAGCCTGGTGGGGAAGTCCTTTGGCAGATGGAAAGACAGCAGACACTTAGAACAACTAAAACCTTGCCTTTTCCTTATGTCCTCAACAGCCTACAGAGGTAGTCAGCTGACCAAATGGAGCTGAGTCCCTCTCTCCCTCTTATCCATCAGTTCTATTTCCTAGATCTCCATCTTCTGTGATGGCAGTTGTCTCATGGACACCCCCTCAATGCCTAATCTAACTCCGGGCAGCCTCTCAATGGTCACACACAGGCCTGTAGTGCTCCATGAGATGCCGGTGGTCTCCAGCGCCATTGCATGTGTCTGGCAATTCCTGCTCAGAGGCAGACACCCCAGGCAGCATTGCAGGCACTTTCAATGCCTCTGCGCAAATCCGGAGGACATCTCAGAGAGATTTGGTTTCTGTTGGCCAGCAACTGAATCCCACCACTACAGCGAGGCCAGTGATGACCCAAATTTATCCAGCTGATGCAGAGCAGTTCATGCATAAGAAGCCCATCCCACTGGGGTCTCCAATCATTTGGCTATTCCCAAACTGTATTGGTTCTTCTTTCAAGAGTGCTTTGCTCAGCCCTGTGATGAAACAGTCAAGGAAGGATCCAATGGTTTCACAGTGTTCCTGCGCCACAGCACGTCCAAAGCCAAGGACATTTTCAGCAGCACCTTGTCCTCCTGGAGATCAGCTTCACCTCCACCACAGGTGCTCAGGGGCAGCAGAGACACTATAGGCAGCAAAGCCCTCAGGGTTTGGTGTCTTTGTGGGCACCTCATTTCATCTTCATTTGCCATCTGCCATCCTCTCCAGCATGTCTTTGGGGAAGTTCCACTTGACTGGAGTTGGCAAATGTGATGCCCATTTCCAAGAAGGGACGGAGGGAGGATCTGCAGAACTACAGGCCTGTTAGTCTGACCTCAGTGCCAGGGATGGTCAATGGAGCAGATCATCTTGAGTGCCATCACACAGCATGTCCAGGACAATCAGAAGATCAGGCCCAGTCAACATGGGCTTATGAAAGGCAGGTCCTGCTTGACTAATCTGATCTCCTTCTATGACAAGGGGATCTGCTTAGTGGATGAGGGAAAGGCTGTGGATGTTGTCTACCTGGAATTTAGTAAAGCCTTTGAAACCGCTTCCCACAGCACTCTCCTGGAGAAACTGGCTGCTCATGGCTTGGATGGGCGTACTCTTTGCTGGGTAAAAAACTGGCTGGATGGCTGAGCCATAAGGGTGGTGGTGAATGGAGTTCAATCCTGTCGGCAGCCAGTCACAAGTGGTGTTCCTCAGGGCTAAGTTAAACCCGTTCCATTTAACAACTTTATCAATGACCTGGACGAGGGGATTGGGTCCACCCTCAGAAGTTTGCAGGTGACACTAAGCTGGGTGGAAGTGTTGATCTGCTCGAGGGGAGGCTGGGTCTACAGAGGGACCTGGATAGCATGGATTGATGGGCTGCTACCAATTGTTCAACAAGGCCAGATGCTAGGTTGTCCTGGTTTTGGCTGGGATAGAGATTTCCAGACATAGTAGAAGGGCTGATCTTATTTCTGATTGTGATGAAGGAACCCCTGACTCATATACACAAACCATGAGCAACTGTAACCAGAACTAGAGGGGCCCTGCCTCCAGGCAGGTGGAGGAGAGACAACTGGGTTTACTGGGCTGTGTGGATTCGATGTCCTGGCACATCAGATCCACAGGAGTATCAAGCTCTAGTGGACACTGGTGCACAGTGTCCCCTAACGCCATCAAGCTCTACAGGGGCAGAACCCATCTGGATTTCTGGAGTGACAGGGACATCCCAGCAGCTGACTGTATTGGAGGCTGAAGTGAGCCTAACCGGGAATGAGTGGCAAAAGCCGCCCATTGTGAATGACCCAAAAGCTCCATGCATCCTTGGCATAGACTATGTCAGGAGAGGGTATTTCAAGGGCCCAAAAGTGTACCAGGTAGAATGGCCCTGCCTGGAGCCTCTGGCTGGTTGGGGACCTAATCCCTGCAGAAGTCTAGATCCATTCTGTGAAGTATTCCATGGGAGAAACACAAAAACATGTTAAAAGTTTCTGTCAAGAGATGTAAAGTGTGAAAGCAGCTTCTGGGGAATTGCTTCCACGCTCGCCGCCTTGTCTTTATCATGCTGGACACCTAAAGGATAGGTGGTTTTGAATGTCTCCTTCATATTCCTTGGGTTTGCCAGCTGGATTTAGGACACAACACATGGCAGAACTGGATTTCTAAAGGTAGATGAGAGGAGCTGCTTCCTCTTCTGCACTTGCAAGGAGAGCCCTAAGGGACAAATTGACACCTAGCTTCTCCATTGCAGCCCTCTGGGAGCTTTGAAGAGGTTAGATATTGTTATCTAAGGACTGTCTCCTTCTATTTCAAGAGGAAGCAGAGGTTCTGAGGGTTTGGTGATAAAACCATCAACATTGTGAAGGTCTCGCTCACTGTCTCAGGTGCATCTGAAATAGGACAAGGACCTCTGTTTGATCATGGAATTGTTCATCTAAACATAAGAGAGAGGAGTCTCATTCTTCAAGGCACTGGGAGTCTCCTCCTTGATGACATGGAAGAAGACTTTTCCTCCCCGCACCAGCTCTTGCAGTGCTGAGCCCTATGGTCATCAGGACCCTGTGAGTCTTGTGCTGCCAGTGGAAAGGAGGAAACAAGTCAGCCTTGCCAGCCCATCAGGTTCTCTAGGAGAAGACCCAGCTCTGCCTTAGGCACTCATTCTGGCCAGCACCTGGACCCAGATTCTCAGAGTCTCCCCACTGCATACACCCAGGCACTGGAGTCCAGGGTGTTTGCAGCCCTGCTCCAGTTGCTGGAACACAGACCACACATCCTACTTACCTTAGTGAGTCCAGCTTGAAGTTCACTGCCATTCGCACATGCCCGCTAAGAACAGAGAGAGCGTGCACCCATGCAGAAGGCAGCTGGAAATAGGCTCCAAGGAAACAGAGGGTAGTGACCAAGTGCAGGGCTCCATCAGAGAAGCACACTGACTAACAACCGGTTCACACTCAGACAGCCCCTTTTTTCCTCTTTCCTCTCTTCCCCTATTTGGTTGCCCAACAACTTGTTGCTGATTCTGTTTTCCCTTACGCTCAAATGGATTTTTCCATGACTCCAAACATCGGGAACTGATCTGAGTGTCTTAATCTCAGTATGACAAGTAATGGACAGGTTGTGTTGCTGTAGGCAGGAGAGTCAAGGAAAGATTTAAAGGGAAATTGGAAGAACATTGCAGTGGCTCTGTAGAGGAGATGCTTCTGAAATGATCATAGAATCATTCAGGTAGGAAATGACCCTTAAGATCATCAAGTCCAACTCTAAACCTGACACTACCAAGCCCACCACTAAACCATGTCCCTAAGCGCTGCATCTGCAGGGCTTTAAATCCCTCCAGGGACGGGGACTCACCCCCTTCCCTGGGCAGCCCCTTCCAGTGCTTGACAACCCTTTCTTTAAAGAAATTTTTCCTAGTATCCAACGTAAACCTCTCCTGAAACAACTTGAGGCCATTTCCTCTTGTCCTATTGCTTGTTACTTGGGAGAAGAGACCGAGCCCCACCTCGCTACAACCTCCTTTCAGGTAGTTGTAGAGGTCTCCCCTCAGCCTCCTCTTCTCCAGGCTGAACAACCCATTTCATCAGCCACTCCTGGTAGGATTTGTGCTCTAGACCCTTCACCAGCTTCATTGCTCTTCTTTGGGCATGATCCAGCACCTCAACATCTTTCTTGTAGTGAGTGGCCCAAAACTGAAAGCAGGTCTGGCCTCATCTGTGCCGAGTACAGAGGGGCAAGCACTTCCCTAGTCCTGCTGGCCGCACTATTCCTGATACAAGCCAGGATGCTGTTTGCCCTCTTGGCCACCTGGGCACACTGCTGGCTCATAGTCAGCCAACATCCCAGGTCCTTTTCCGCTGGGCGGCTTTCCAGCCACTCTTCCCCAAGCTTGTAGCATGGGCTTGTTGTGACCCAAGTGCAGGACCTGGCACTGAGCCTTGTTGAATCTCATACTGTTGTGGTTTAACAATTGGCCTTGGACCATCAATTCAGCCTGTCTAGATCCTTGTAGAGCCTTCCTTCCCTCAAACAGATCAACACCCCCACCCAACTTGGTGTTGTCTGCAAACTTACCAAGGGTGCACTCAAACTTCTCATCCAGGTCATCGATAAAGATATTAAACAGAACGGGGCCCAGTACTGAGCCCTGGGGAACACCACTCTTGGTGGCTTCCAGCAGGATTCAACTCCAATCACCACAACTCTTTGGGTCTGGCCATCCAGCCTGTTTTTTACCCAGCAAACAGTATGCCTGTCTAAGCCACGACCAACCAAGATTTATTTGATTTGCAAGGGACCTCAAGGATGTTGGCATATCATCACCCTCATGCCATCACTTTCTGCATGTGTCACGCTCATTTGGCATCCTGTTGCAATGCACAGCTTTTGCAGGCTATGAGGAGGGCCTGTTCCGTCCTGCCTGCAATGACTGGGATGCCACTGTGGAGAAAATACGATAACCTAAAGTTGTAGGAGACCTTACAGCTTACACAAAACTAAGGACACAGCAGGAACATGTGGAAGTGAGGAGAGACCAGCACTGAAAAGGTCACGTCCTCATGTGGTCTGTGGCCATGGCTCAAGGGAAGCAGCAGCCCTGATTCGAAGGTGGGAGTGCCCCACCAGGCAGCAGAGGCAGCTCTGAGGGCTACAGGGCTGCCCCTCCATGTGGCATCTGGACTTTTGGCTCCTTAACACCTTCTGCATTCTGGAGCTGGGTCCTCAACTCCAGAAAGGTTTTGAAGAGATGGGAGCTCAAACAAATGATATTCTGCTGGACTCTTTATTTATGCAAGGAGACGGCTTCCTTAGATATATTAGGGTAGTTCCTCAGAAAAAAAAAAAACCACAACACGTTGAGTGCCAAGAAGTGGGATGAATAATACTATTTAATTGCAATCAATATTATTACACATATAAAAAACAAATATAAAATAAAGAACACAAGATAGTCCTGAATTTTCCTGAGCTACCCTGGAAGTCATATAAAGGTGATGGATACTTAATGATGTTGAAATAGTATGTGTTCAAACAGTTTCTTCAGGGCCTCCTTGATCTCCTTGTTCCTCATGCTGTAGATGAGAGGGTTCAATGCTGGGGGCACCACTGAGTACAGAACTGACACCACCAGATCCAGAGATGGGAAGGAGATGGAGGGAGGCTTCAGGTAGGCAAACATTAAAGTACTTATAAATAGAGAGACCACGGCCAGGTGAGGAAGGCACGTGGAAAAGGCTTTGTGCTGTCCCTGCTGAGAGGGGATCCTCAGCACAGCCCTGAAGATCTGCACATAGGACAGCACAATGAAAACGAAACACCCAAGTGCTAAACAAGCACTGACCACAAGAAGGCAAATTTCCCTGAGGTAGGCATCTGAGCAGGAAAGACTGAGGATCTGGGGGACTTCACAGAAGAACTGGTCCACAGCATTGCCTTTGCAGAGGGGGAGTGAAAATGTATTGGCTGTGTGCAGCACAGCATAGGGAAAAACACTGCCCCAGGCAGCTGCTGCCATGTGGACACAAGCTCTGCTGCCCAGGAGGGTCCCGTAGTGCAGGGGTTTGCAGATGGCCACATAGCGGTCATAGGCCATGACAGTGAGAAGATAAAACTCTGCTGAAATGAAAAAGACAAACAGAAAGACTTGAGCAGCACATCCTGCATAGGAGATGTCCCTGGTGTCCCAGAGGGAATTGGCCATGGATTTGGGGACAGTGGTGGAGATGGAGCCCAGGTCGAGTAGGGAGAGGTTGAGGAGGAAGAAGTACATGGGGGTGTGGAGGTGGTGGTCACAGGCTATGGCGGGGATGATGAGTCCATTGCCCAGGAGGGCAGCCAGGTAGATGCCCAGGAAGAGCCAGAAGTGCAAGAGCTGCAGCTCCCTCTTGTCTGCAAACGCTAGCAGGAGGAACTGAGTGATGGAGCTGCTGTTGGACATTTTCTTCCTCTGGGTGTGGGGAACTGTCCAAGGAGGAAAACACAGTGTTAATTTAGGAATGACTTATCAGAAGAAAAGCCCATGCCATATCTCATGGAAATCTCCCTCCCTGAGCTGAATGAGGAATGAGCCAGCTCATTCCCCAACCCTAATAAGTGAATGACATTCTGCTGGAATATTCAAAACACAGCTTAGACGTGCAGTTTCCATGAGGCACTGGAGTCGGAATAGAAACTAACCTGCACCCTCAGCCTGAGAGCGAGAGTATGACAGACAGATGGTGAAACAAGGAAGAACACGGCTATGCTCCAAAAGGATGAAGCAAGAAGCGAAAGGCTGATGGGCATGCAGAGAAGCCTTCTCCTTACCCAGCTGTGCTCTGCACCTCACAGACAGCAGCAATGTAGGGCACTCATTTTTAGCCTGTTTGTTGTATATCAGTGGTAGTACACAGGCACTTCTTCTAGACTGGAGGTCCCGCTGCCGAGGAGCTGACTCATGCCCTGGACCCTGTGGCCTTGGGGATGAGGCTGTGCTGGGAAGGAGACTATGGCCTTGCTCTGGGGAAGCTGTCTGAACTGTAGGGGACGGCAGGGAGGTGCCCAAATCACCCTTCCCACAGCATTTTTGGAAAAGGCTCCCTGTCCCTCCCTGCCCATGACTCTGCTGCCTGGAGCTGTCCCTGCTAGGAGCTGTTTCTCTGTCCCCACATCTCCTCCCTGTGTCAGTGCTCACAGACCCCATCCCACCCGCTGTGTGCTCACCTCTGCTCTGCAGACACCTCCCACAGCAGGGCACTGCCCAGGAGCATTTCTGTGTGTGCAGGGGCTAAGGAGCAGCTCAGGCATGTCCTGACAAGAACTGGGGTCTGCATGCCTTCTCTGGAGTGGAGAACAAAGTTCCCATCTCCCACTGCCCACCCAGATGACCAAGAGGAGAAAAGTCAAAGCACAGACTGCTTCTCTTTCAGGCAAATACTGCCTTGCTGTTCGTCTGCAAAAGGACTCTCTGCAAATGTCCTGGGCTGATGTGGAGCTGTGAGCAGCCCTGACCCATGCAGCACACTCTCAACAGCAGAGGCATCCTGCCATGCGGGCGGTCACTCCTTGTGCACTCAGCTTCTCCCCACAGTGCCATGGGGAGCTCCCCAGGCAGGCTGAGTGCTGACCCTGATGGGTGGCAGAGTCCCTTCCCTGGCACACAGCCCCTTGAGGTGCAGGGACTCTGCTTGGAAGGACAGCCCTGGGCACCCCTGACTACTGCACACCCAGCTTCACACCCTGCAGCCCTCCCTGGAAGAAACAAGCTGTCGTACCCTGTCCTTCTGATGATGTGGCAGGGAATCCCTGCTCTGGAACTCATCCTTCTCCTCCACACCAAGCATGGGATGCGCAGCTTGAGGAGATCCCTCCAGGAACTCCTGTGCATTGCCCTGTGGCTAGAGACTTACGGTGTTAAAGGCTGTGAAGATTCCGTCCACTGCAGACTGCCTTTAACCTCTGTCTTCCTCCTCATCTCTCTCTCCGCCTTTGCAGAGGAGCTGCTCCTGGACAGAGCTGTCTCTCTGCTTTCTGCACTCCCATGGTGCCATAAGCTCCCTGCATCCCAGGAGCCCATCCCAGCTCATCAGCAGAAGACCAGCCCAGGGCTGAAGTAATCACTGATGGTCCCTCCCTCAGCTGGGCAGAGACACTTCTTCCCAGCAGTGAAATCTCTTCTATTAGAAAAACCGTTGGGCATGAGAATCACCTTTTCTTCCCCCATCATTAGAGAGGACACCAGGCATGACACAGGGAAGGATCTACTTTCTCCAAGCTGGGGGAATGTTTTCAGTTTAGTGAGTTCAGGCATTTCATTCTGGCTTGTAGTCCGAGGGCTATAAAGACATTCAGAATGCCTCTGTCCATGCCATGTCTCTGCTTTGAAGCAAAGCTTTTGCACACGCAAGGTCTTGGACACATGGTACCAGGATTCCTTATGGCAAGAAGGATCTTGCCTGGTGCCACATCTGGGGTGCTATAGCCCAAATGTGCCGCAATGGTCTCAGCAAGGGGCACAGAGAGGATAGTCTGGAGCTATTAGTGTTGGAGGCAGTGGGGTTACAGTGATGGAATCAATTGCCAAGGCATGGTGGCAGAGCTCAGTACAGCTGGTCTTCAAGGACAGCATCCTCCAACCCAAACTGAAATGCAGTCTGAACTTGAAAGGCAATTCAAGGACAC